TATTGTCTTCAAGCAGTTGACCGTCTTCAATTTGATCGCACTTTGTCAGCGACTCTAACTGAACCAGTACTACAACTTGTTTACGGGCGAGTACGCTCAACGGGTAAACGTACTCGCTACGTTCTGCCTTACTTCACAACCCAGAACTTTATATTAATGTAATTTATGTAAATTCAGGGAGTTCGCACCACTTATCCAACTCCCACGGACGACCTGATATAACCGATCCAGCTATCTGCCCACATAAAACATGTCTTCAGTTTCCGGTGGGAACCGCTCTCTATGCTAACTTATATGGCTTTCGAACATCACCTCGGGCATCGCTCCTGAAACTAACGAGATTTTGACAGATCGTGACCGGTCTCTTCGTCATAGACCCAGCCGATGACTCCCAGAAATCAATTCCGCTAATCACTCATTCGGAGAAAAACAATCACGATCGGAGATCTTAGTCATACGTTACAACCATCTGCCATCTCATTATGACCACCTCGGCACCCCGGTGCCGCCACTCTTCGTTTTACCTCGATTTCTGTCGTGACGAAATTTCCGAGAAACGTCACGTAAAAGTAGGATCATCCACGCTCATGCTTGCACCTCAGCGCGCTGATGCGGATTCTATACTTTACACAGAAAGAGATCCAATAAATTTAGTCGCCGCTCGCGTGGGCGTTAAATTATACGAGCAATCATCCCTCGCCATAAACCCACAATGGGTACTAATCGTGAGTTAAAAAAGGGAAAGTGGTTCTCGGAAAAAAGCTGTGTAGGTACCACTTTTTCGACTATTGTAGTCTCCAAAACACCATTTCGACTGCCAACCACGCATACATTCATAATGCGCGCGGTGTACCTGCAGCTAACCAGAATTTTGATGTCGTATGTACGTAATATTGTACATGAATACGTTGTAAATCATAAAATATCATCATCATTATTATTTAATAATTGCAGGCCACGAAAAATCATTTTTATCACCGCGACGTGGTAAAAAGCGCGAAATTCGGCCATATCTTATTGGAAAAGGTCATCTAACAGATTTTGATAATGTACTCTAAAAATATTATTCTTAAAATTCGCCAAGGTCTCGGTGACGTGCGAACGATTGTCGTAGCTTAAGTGAGACTGTAATATATTTCGCTCTCTTTTCACTTTCCTGGTACTTTCAGTCTAATGTTTTTTAGATATATGTGACCTTTATTGTTTATTGTTGCGTATATTAAATTTACATGTTTTTTGCATATGGTTTTTCCGTATAATACATGAATCTGCCACCCAACGCATAGACTTGCCAGTACATCAAGTACCAATTACCGGGACGATCATTTGTGAGTATATTCCTTCGTGCAAATTTATTGCATCTGCGTAATAACAGAGAGGCTACGTCACCTATAAATTTGTTCTTATGAAAGAAACATTTTATGTGCATTTAATGGTCGCTTCTTCATGAGGGCTGTATAAATTCGATGAAAATTATTGGTCGTATTTTAAAAGTTGCATATAAGGAATTATGTGTGTCAGTTTTCGTCATTTATTGCTATTGGTACCGACGTTTTAAGTGTTGGAGTGATGTTTCCTCTCGTAAAGCTACTCATAGAAGTAGGGTCAAACGTTTAATAATTTTTTTCCAGTAGGACGTCTTGAGTCTTTTAAGTGTTAATAACTCCCAGGTAGTACCTTTGAAACGAAAAATCGTGCTGAGCTGTTGGTTGTACGGTGGTTGTAGTGTGCGGTACGCCCTCTGGTGGCGCTTTGTGTTTTAGAATCGCAAACAGGTACGTGTTCTTAATTTGCATTCTGGGCTGTCATCAATTGTCAATTCTGTCTGTGGCCTATGCGCGTTCGTAAATTATAATATAAGACTACGAGACAGCCACCATTATTCAAAAGTATTAACATGCAAATCATTTACAAGAACAACATTGTGCATTGCAAGTTGGCACTTATTCAGCGTTGTTTGTCAAAATAAAAATTCGCGTATAGAAAAGTCAACAGTTCTGGCGTAATACAGGCGACAGCGTCGATTTCGTAAATCTGCCAATCATACAACTTTCGCTGACATTATTTAAGATGAACTTTCTTTGTTGGTCCATCAGTTCGGATCGTTAAATCCTTGTGACTAATTACTTTTCAGCTTAATGCGCTCGGTTTTTCTCGCTTTTGCTCATCCTCGCGATTTCCTGCAGTACGAGGGTGGGGGAGTACAGTTGTGCCAACCTGACCTAGATAAAGTGTTGTGACTAATGTGTTTATTGGAAAAAACGAATCAATTGTTCTAATGCTCGCACTATAAAGACACACAATTTTCATTTTCTCTTTGATGTTTTGTTACTTCTCTTAATCACTCGATGACATGACTGCACTTTATAAATAACCAATAGTATAGTGTACGTTTTAATGGAAAAAGTACATATCCGTAGATCGGATCTAATGTATGTAATTTAATGTAATTTTTATTGCTAAACATCAAGCCAAATCAGTAAATTTCCTGTTGACGAGAACAGCGGAAGTTAACATCTCGCTCGCTAACAATATAGTATTACCAACATTTACGTAAAAAACCCGATTCAAACGGAGGAAGCACGTTTTTTGTGTCACGTGTATTTAATGATCATGAATGGTAATGTTTTTCTCTTAATCCTTCCGCTTTGTAGCGCTTTTTGAGAATCCGGAGTTAAATGATCGAAGGGATTGTTATATAGCTTATAAGGGGGGAAGTAAGCGTGCACACGACAGTGTCTTTTGTCCTGTGCGTTGGGTAGCTTGTGTAAAAATTGTGTTAGCTCGGCCAATGGGTAACAAGATGTGGCAGCTGTGTTGGTAGTGTGCAGCGTTGCTACTAATCTCGTTCGGAATCGAGCCAAGAACAGGTTATGCCGTCTACTATAATGAGGAGACTTGATTTTCGCGACGACTGTACATCATTTATCAGCGAAGATCTAGTTCTACTCGATTCTTTCATTATAAGAGCGCTTTGTAAGTAGACTCATGCGGTCGCCGGCTCCCACGTGGTGCACCACTACAGTCGAACCCTGGACCTCGCGCTATTATTTCCTAGTACAGTCCCGGCAAGAGCGCCTTTGATGTAAATCGCTAATTAAAACACACAAACCCTAACCACACTCCAGTTACGCGACCGAAGAATAGTAAACAATAAAGCTTTGTTGTAGGACGCATTTTATTTACAGTCTGGGTTGGGCAGTATAGGCTTTAACCGGTGCTATATACTCCATACAACGCCATCTGTAATTTACACGCCACTCGTAAATATGGCGTACGGTAGTTTAATAACCGCTAGGTATATTTTCTTTTCAACCAGAAACTTGTAGATTGTAATGGGTGATAATTGGTAATTTGTTTAGTCATGGTCTCGTTGTTTACCCAAATAAATCACTCATGGGCCGATTGTGGTTAAACGTTTTCGTAATTAGACTCATTGGAAATGCACACAAATCATTAAAACCTGATAATGCATGGTAATATTTTCTTAAGGTCGCTGGTTGTTGTCATTTATTTTATATTTATAAAAAGTAAAAGGTGGGTTAATTCAAGGTGATCACCGTCGGTCACAATGGAACAAAGATTTTGATACACAAAAAATATCACTCTTAAAAAAAAGTACCACTTGATCTTTAAATAGTGAAACTTTGATTTATTAACCGTAATTTTTCGACGGTAAAAAATAACGCTTATACCATAAACTGCATAATTATGAAATATTGAAAAGGTAACAAGCGTAAACAGACGAAACAGTTTCGCTAAATTCATTGCTAAAATCATTAGACCAAGACCATAAATTTATTAAATAGTTGTTTCTTACGTAAGGAATAAATTCTGTAATTAACGAACATTTTTCTAATTATACGCCTTGTTTAATGGAAAGTGTTGATTTATTTATTATTCAATGCAGCAAGATTGGCAACCCTGGACTACGTAAATTATACATGCAATCGCGAGATACCTCCCCAGATTTACCCATCCATTTAACTTTTATTATTATTAATATTGCAATAATTAAACACGGCGAGCCACCAGCCAATTAACGTCATATTTAGACGTAATTGTGCAAAATTCATAGACGACGCGCTACATTTAAAATTTAAACGTCAACCGCACCCCGCAGGGCTAATCTCGTGCGAGCGCAGAGAGTTCAATGGAGCAGTTGCACACAGATGTGCGACTCGAGCCGACTATAATGGATCACTGTGTCCTTTATTTAGTGGAAAGCGTTGATTTGTTTAATTTTTGATGCGGGATTGGTCACCCCTTGTATGGTTTTTGGTCTCGAGGGACTTCCTGTCCGTGCTGTAACTTTGATGAAGGTTGAGATTAAAAATCTCTCCGTGTAGTCGTTGCAAGTGCATTGTGTTGTATATTTAGCGAATGTGGTGTCTAGACCGACTTGCGTGTTTTGGCAAGCGACTTTATTGAGTTGGCAGACGTGACAGGTTCGATTTTCGAATAACTATTGATCTTAGGAACTGATGTAAATCCAAGTTCGATACACCCGAAGCCAGTTCGAGAGGATGTGACACTGCATCATTAAATTTACTATTTAATTGGATGTGAATACACTATTGTGTAGAGCCGTGTATCAAGCGGCTCGAAAAGGTAACGACCACGACCACGTCTCTAATTTTTTAAACTGCAGCTTATGAGTCATAAAGCGGTTTTCGTACATTTATAAAAACTGTCTTAAATATCGTGAGAAAGACCACGGAACGCAAACGTCATCATTAATATGTAAATCTCTAATTAATCGACAAAGTTCAAGGTATGAATTTGAGGGAAATCTAGTTGAAGCGATCTTTGCAAAGGCGACATCTATCGATTAAGAAACTCTGATGTTGAAGATATGCAAAAAGGCGAGTTTGAAAGTAACCGCGTTCGCAATAATGAAGCCAATTATAAGTTTCTTAGTCACGCGCCACCGCCCTTTTTGAGTATATACTTAGTGTTTTTGTATTCCTTCCACCAGCTGATTGTGTCTTTTGTTTTAGATTCTCCGCGAGGCTACGATGAAGAGGAAACTTTGAAACGCGTTTCAAACGCGTGAAGTCGTGAAGATGTTTGCCTTCCAACTAATCTTACAATGTAGTTATGTGGTGAAGATTTTGATTTGGTCAATATGTTTCATCGCGTTTTGCCACGCTTGGCTGCCAGACGGCTCTTCCAAACTAGTGAACAACTTCAAATCTATCTCCAGTATAAGTTTTACGGGGAATGCGTCCTTCCCCGACCACTTTATTGTCTTGAATCAAGACGACAACTCTATTATAATAGGTGGTAGGAATAGGATATATAATTTAAGCATATACGATTTCCACGAAAGGAAGGAGGGTAGAATCGACTGGCCATCGTCCGATGCACACGGCCAGTTGTGCATACTGAAGGGGAAAACTGAAGACGACTGCCAAAATTACATTAGGATTCTTTACCATTCAGAGTCCGGGAAGTTAGTTGTCTGCGGGACCAATTCGTACAAACCGTTGTGCAGAACTTATGCCCCCAAGGTAGCTTGCAGTTTGATACAGTTACAATAATTATCGCTACATTGTAACTACTTATAGGATGGAAAGTACTCAGTCGAGAAAGAAGTGGAGGGGATAGGGCTGTGTCCGTATAACCCAGAGCACAACAGCACGTCTGTCTTCTACAACGGCCAATTATTTTCAGCCACCGTTGCTGACTTCTCCGGGGGTGACCCCCTCATATACCGAGAACCCCAACGAACGGAACTCTTTGATCTCAAACAGTTGAACGGTGAGTAAACCCGCCAACACTAAAACACCGCTAACGAGGAAATTTTAGCGCCTAACTTCGTCAGTTCGTTACCGTACGGAGATTTTATATTCTTCTTCTACCGAGAAACAGCTGTTGAATATATGAATTGCGGAAAGGTCAGTAAGCGCGTACGTGAAAAAGACCGTTTCTCACTCCTGGCTTCCAGGTCATCTACTCTCGAGTGGCCAGAGTTTGCAAAGATGATAAAGGCGGTCCGCACCAGTCCAGAGACCGTTGGACATCGTTTCTGAAAGCGCGCCTAAACTGTTCAATTCCGGGGGAATACCCTTTCTACTTCGACGAAATCCGTAAGTAGCGCATCCTCTCACCTAAATCGATCCTCTAATCACCTCCCGTAGAATCAACAAGTGATATAGTAGAAGGAAAGTATAATTCCGATGAATCTAAAAGAATAATTTATGGCATACTTACGACTCCGATTAACGCGATCGGTGGCTCGGCCATCTGTGCTTATCACATGGACGACATTCTAAGAGCGTTCGAAGGTAGCTTCAAGCAGCAAGAGAACATCAACTCAAATTGGCTTCCGGTACCAGAAAACATGGTTCCTCAACCTCGACCCGGGCAATGCGTTCGGGACAGTCGCATCCTTCCAGACAAAAACGTCAACTTCATCAAAACACACTCCTTGATGGAAGAAGCCGTCCCGGCGTTTTTCGGTAAACCTGTTTTGGTCAGAGTGAGTTTACAGTATCGGTTTACGGCCATCACCGTCGATCCTCAAGTCAAAACTACCAATAATAAATACGTAGATGTCTTGTATATCGGAACAGGTGAGTGAGTTTGTTTGTTTACTATAGCGGCACCTAATGCGTTGGTGTTACAGATGATGGAAAAGTTCTAAAAGCGGTCAACATACCGAACGGAGACACCGCCAAGGCGATTGTTATATCGGAAAATACGGTACTTCCGCACGGTTCGGCTGTGAAACAGCTAAAGATAGCGCCGGGATATGGGAAAATCGTTGTGGTTGGAAAAGACGAAGTCAGGCTGACGACCCTAAACCACTGTTCGAGTATAACCCGTTGCAGGTACGGATTACCCGATTGCGTCGTACGAGTTATCAATTTTTTTTTAGTGAGTGCGTCGGCCTGCAAGATCCGCATTGCGCATGGGATGCCAAACAGAACGCGTGTGTCAGCATTGACGCCGTCACTTCTTATCGTTTCTTAATACAGGATGTACCTCGAGGAGACGTCAACAAATGCTGGTCGCCGCAATCAGGTACATAATTTCACTAGCAAGGGGAATTTTTTCTTTTACCCGATTTATGCCTTCCCGCGGAAAACGCAAACAAGCTTCTCGCTGACTTTACCGTTTTTTTGCAGACAAAAAGACTGTGATCAAAAGTAAGTCCGACGCGGAGGAAAAGAAGGAGATCCAGACCAATTCGCTCGACGATAAGGACCTCGATTCGACTGATCCGGTGATCCGGACGGACGAAGATCCCGAGTGTGACCCTCTGGACGAAAACAGTATAGGTGGATGCGCCGTTCGCCAACAACTGGTTATATATACGGCCGGGACTTTGCATATTGTAGTAGTAGTAGTAAGCATCGTGGGTCTTCTTCTTGGTTTCATAGCCGGGTATTTATTTTCCCAGAAGTTTCATTCGCATTCGCAGTATCCAGAGGCTCCTTTCATTGAGCAACACAATCATCTAGAAAGGTACGACTCTCCTGTTACTTGAGACGTTTTTGGAACTTGTATCTTCCAGGTTAAGCGCCAACCAGACGGGGTACTTGACGCCGAGAGCGAATAAAGCGGTAAATTTAGTCGTGAACGTATCGAGTAGTTCGCCGCCCCCGAAAAAAGACAATCTAGATGTCGGAAAAGATCTGAACATTTCTAGTGATGGAACGTTGCAGAAAATAAAGAAGACTTACATTTAAGTAGTGCGGATTTTTGTTACTTGTACCTGCAGATGGGATCGGTTTCGGTGTTTTGAAAGCCATTAGAAAATTTTCCATGACATTACTCTATCAAAATGGCAGCAAACTCACGCTCAATGTTGTGTAACGTAAAGTTTTATTTACGTTTTTAATGTTTTATTCGTAATTTTATGTATATATGACTGTGGAACTTGTGTTTTTTTTTTGTGATACTCACTAGAGGCATACGACATAACTTACACTTATGAGGAAACATGTTTTGCAGTATTGTGAAGTATTAAAGTAGTCGGAATTAAAAGTTTTATACGGAAAAATCAGTACCGTTATTTTTGCACTTTTCTGTACCAAGGAGCCATAGACACGTTACAGGTCGTTCCGCTTTTTGTTCGCACGAGTTACTTACATTTTTTTTTTTTTTTGTTGGGGAAGTTTTCATGCCGGTTAAACTCTTTGGTATAGAATAGTTTTGTCTTTGTTGTTCTGTTGCTAATTTTAGATATATCTATATGTAAAAATGCGATTGTAAATAACTCTGTCTATAAGTGATTTAGTTTAAAGTTTTAAAATTATAAAATTATTTCAATCTGTTTGGCTGTGAACTGTAGGTCTAAAATGTATCATGTTGCCTTTTATAGTGCCTATTATTATTTTTTTTATGTGGCAGTCAATACAGAGGGAAAATTACAGGTTTTAGTAAAAGAAGATGTACAAATTTTCTAGGTTAATGAAAAAAGAGACTATTACATTCCTTAGTTTATGTATATTATGTTGTAAGTGATTAAATATTTAACAAAAATCGTGTTTCTTTCTAATCCAATGTTCCTTTAGTCTTCAAGGTCAAATGATCTGATGCGTGCTGGTTCTAAGCGAGCAACGCGAACTAGAACTTTGCGTTCCACTCGTTACCGCTAATTTTACGTGGTGTTGCGACTGACGCTCTCTGAATTTCTAGGTAATCATAAGGGATAGTTTAGATCGAGCAGGTAGGTAGCCAACGAAAACTCTCTTCAAGCGGTTCAGTAAAAATATTCTGTTTACGATAAATAAATCATTCTGAACGATAAATTCCGATAGTGACAACACTTTGATAAAAAAATTTAAATCAGCACCTTATCACTAACGATATTAATTAATAATATATCATAAATCTGGCTTATTAATTTTACCAAGTGACGTATAGCATAACACTATTAAAATAAATTATGTGTTAATTCAAAATTGTTTATAAATATGTGCATAATATTAAGGTTAATTGTGCTCTTTAGTAGTCAGAGTCAAATTTATAGGTGTTCATATCGTGTTAAGATGGTCAAAAGTTGAACAATTACATAATTGTGACTTTCTCGGCTACGTTATTGTTACCAGAGTGGATATTTGTCACGGCAGTTATTAATACTACCCCTTGCGAATATGCAACTAAAAATACACCCGAAAGTTAGCGCGGTCATAAACATCAATCAACACTAAACAACAATTATAAGATTTTAGTACATTATAAACTATTTATATATCACCGAAACGCTCAAATCTGTTTTGATTATAGTCAAACGTAATCTATACCGCATAAAACATGATTAAAATTTATTATTATTATTATTATTATTATAAATGTCATTTATTTCACTTTCTATATTTATTTTTGTTTTCTTTTGATAAGTGCGTTGTTATTGTAGCCCCCTTTCCCCCCAAAATCACATTCGGTCGCATTCTTGAAGAATTTAGATAGATTACGATTTTTATCACCTTTGATCTATGCGCTGCGCATCTACATCTAGTGTATCCTCAAACCAGGGAAAGTTGTCACTGTCACTGTCAGCCACATATGTCTAAATACCAGCATTAGCGTTATCAGCCTTATAAATGAGTGTATTAAAATGAGATAAGTAACAATTGCGTTTGTGTGCTTAATTGGGACCTCGCGGAGTATGAGCAATATGCCATTTCGAAGAGGTAAATAGACGCAGCGAGATGGACTGGCTGAGCAAGTACAACATCCTCTCAAAGCCACAGACTAGGGCTCTGATGAGCAGTACCGAGGAAGAATGTGATCCGCAGGCCTGCTACGACAGCTTCAAGGAGCACTGGCATCAAGCTCTAAAGATAATAAATCGAGCGCAGGTTTGCTTTGTTTAGTTATGAAAGTTAGGTTATGTCTCTTGTCAATGTCAAAATTTCAGCAAATGCCCAGAAACGACGATGTTCTTGGAGTCGTAAATCATCTGGAGCAAATGGTCACTCTTCTCTTGTACGACGTCAAAAAGATCGATCAGCTGAGAGTACCCATTTCGTCGACCTCCCAATGCCTGGAGTACATGCTGGGGGAAAATATTCTAGATAAGTTGTTTGAATGGGGCGTCCGCGCTGGGAAGTATGTATTTTGAGAATCTCGCGTGGGGAGCTTTGGAAAACGGCCCAAAACCATCAGATTTCATATCTAGTATTTTGTTTCCAACTGGGACTTATTACAACATTTTCGTGGTTTTTACACCTGTAGCGTAACGCAGACGTAAGTCGTTCACTTATCTAAATCAAATTCTACTTCTTGGTGATTGATGTGATTATAAATCGAGGTTGGGAATGACCCTTTCAAAGTAACACAGTCAAGTTACTTTATTATTAAACATAATTTAGTTTTCCAAAGCTTCCGCGATACCAAATTAATTAACCCGTTTCGGGTCCAGGAAAATTGACCCCTTCAAGTGACGTTTGATCATTCTATTAAATCTTGAAAGCCCCCAGAATTAAATAAAGTAAAAATATTTTTATATAAAATTTAATATTATGCAGAGCGAGTAATCTTGTTAATCAAGGTCACCCGTAAACGACACTATTACTCATTTATACAAGAGCTACTCTCCAATCAGTAAAAGTCCTAGGTTATGTTCCAACATTCTTTGTTGAGCCGTGACAACCAAACTTTCTTTTTCCACGTAAATTAAAATTCTGCTTGCATTTTCAATGTACCATGTGGTGCCAACGCATCTCTAATAAATGAACAAACTATGCGTGAAAGAGATACGAAATCTAAGGGTGTTTTAGCATATTTAGTTTGGCATTAAGAACACAAATCAGCAAAGCCATGATTACAAAAAAAAAAAAAATAAACTAAAAATGTTCGTACTCGATATCCATTACTATACTCCTACAAATGCAGTTGTATTAAGTGCTTTTTTATGGTGTTTAGTGTGATTTTATAGACATTTTACTACTGAGCATTAATGTGTAATAATCCGAAATTAAAGGAAATTATTTTCACATACCTATCAATTTAACTGAATCATTTTAAATTTACTTTTCTAAAAAAATGTTTAAAAGAGGCAGCCAACCCTAATTCACTTTTTAGTCAACTGTATATTTATGACAATAAGATTCAAAATGACGTGCTCTTGGTAGATAATGACCTAACCTGACCTAAATAATTCCGAACTCAAAATCGTACTTTGCAAAAACTTTATAATAAAATTTTGTAATGAAGTGCGCGCGCATTGGACACTTAAAACACAATTTATATACATTTGTTTGTGAACTTCAATAGAATGGTGAAACGCACTTTTCCGACTTTTCCTGGACCGCAGTGTACAACTAATCGTCCTGTTGCAGATTTAAGGATGCCGTCCGATGCGAACAGCTAAAATTATACGAAGTTTTAATTAGCAGGTCGCGCCACGTTCTCTTAGTCCATGAACCGTTTCTCAGGCCAATGTTGAAACTCCTCAACTCTTGTAAAGACGAACTGTTTTCCAAAGATATCGAAAAACTGCTAGTAGATCTGTTGAATCAGTTGTGTGCGCTGTTGATGCAGAATATAGACTTAATAGATCTTTTTTTCCAGAGGAGTGAGAATAACACAAGGTAAAGTACAATCTGCGCTGAAGCGTTTGTGGTTTTTAGTGACTCGACTTAATTTAAGTCGTTTTTCAGGTTTATCATTTTTATTTTACTTATCCCGTTCGTCCATCGTGAGGACTCGATAGGGATGCGTGCTCGAGATGGTCTGCTATTGTGCATGTCGTTGTCTAAAAAGAACAAAGAAGTGGCGACTTACATAGTTGAACGTTCGAATTTTGCCGTGTTGGCGGCGAGTGGTTTAAATGGCTTATATTCTTTGTTACCAAATATTTTAGACGATATCCAAGTACCTGATTGGCGACGGTTAACTCCCGACGACGTTAACGATATAAAAGGTTTATCGACATTTGTGACGTCACTAGAGTTTAGTAACGCGGTAGCACAAGTCGCGCATCCTATGATTAGGAGACAACTACAGGAGTTTCTTTTTCGGGGGTTTTTGATACCCGTTTTAGGTCCCGCTCTTTTGCAAACTAATGTAAACGAACAGGTTGCGGCTACTGCTTATTTGGAATTAATTTTACGCACAGTTACGCAACCGGGCCTTCTATACGCGCTATTAAAATTTTTGATTAATATGGAATACGACGGTCATAGACTTCTGGATATTTTAATACAACGAGTACACTCGGACCGCGAGCTGTGTTTGGTTTCTCTGTCGTTGTTCGAAACTATGGTTCACTTAAACTGCGAGGATATGATGCTCGAGTTGGTTTTTCAACATTTACAACCGTGTTTGCACTTGATGTTGTCACAAAGGAGATTATTATTGCCGTTGGATCCGCATTGTCAGAATTTCGAAAAATTGCTGAACCTAGCACCGAGCTGTTGCGAGTTGCCGAGCTCACCCAGAAGCGACATCCATTGGAATCATTATGGTGGACAGCAGAGTCTGTGTGGGAAGTACCATGCCTATTTATACGACGCAAGGAATAAAATTTCTAGCTGCCAAGCGGCATGTACATCTTGGAATAATTCGTATACCGGGTGTGACGAAATCGTCCAAGACCCTACGATTACCGGTAAGGATCGAGAAGTCTGTAACCACAACTAACCAAATGCTTGTAGAAGAAAACTGCAATAGTCTCTCGTCTCTGGGCGAAAGCAGCGGCTACGAAAGTTTAAAAATCAAAATCGAAGATTCGAGCGAAGAGACTCCAATATGGCAAATCTCTTCAAACAAGATCCGAAAACACAATCCTTCTTTTGTAGATAACAGTGATCAGTTAAACAGTTCCGGTAGTGCTGGACCTTTTCTCACTCTTCTTCTCGAGAAGCTTAAAAACTTCTTGTCGAACTCATTCTATATAAATTTACACGTGACAGGGTTAATTTCGAGGTTAGCTGTATACCCACAACCTCTCCTAAGGACCTATCTTTTAGACGACAGTTTAGTGTTACAGCCAAACGTGCCATCATTATTTCAAGTGAGTCAGCACTTATCTTATTTCATTATATTTTTATTACTATTTGTTTAGATTATTGGTTCGCTGAAACAAAGTATCGACGAATATATGAGTAGGCGGGCCGATAGCGGCAGCTTGATAAAAGCTGCGAGAGACTTCCTCGTCGATAGGGAGACCCGGCTGATAAACGCCCGAAGAAACACTCTAGAAAAGTCGTCTTCGTTTAACGTCGAGCCCGAGCCGTTCCAGCGGAACGGCCCGAAACGCAGGAGCTTAAATTTACCTTCCATTACGAGCATGTTTGGACGCAGGCCGAGCCAAGTTGCCGAAAACGGGGTCGCGTTAGTACCCACCGAAGAGTATCAATGCAATTTAATTTACCCTAAGTTTAACGAAGAGCAACACGTGGCATTGTGTGCCGTTTTGTTGGATGAGTGGGTTAAAGAACTCGCCGCTCTTGCTCAAGAACACATGATCGCGCAACTTGCCGCCCTCTTTAAATAACGGGTCAATTTAAAATTAGGCAATACTTTTCTATTCTTTAACCCGTCTTTAATACTGTTAAAATCAAAATAACTCAATATTGGCTGATATATTTATTGTTATAAGGGTTTTGAATTTAGCAATTTTAGTGTGTACTTAAGGGTTCATTTTGTCTGCTTTAAAGAGATTTGTGTGTGTTTGTGTGTAGGTGTTCGGACCGACATTGTGCACCTTTAAGTCATTTGCTATCGTCCATTATGGGAACATATCTTCAACATCAAGACCCTCGATTTTTTTTTGTTAATAACTTGTTAACAGGTTAACACTATGTTTAAGTAACTTTCAAAAATGTCTGTGATCTCTATGTAAAATTAAGAAAATTTTTATACAAACATGTTGACGTTGTTGACACCTCATTGTGGATTTGCTGTGTATTTTTATTCGGAGTGTATTATACATTTTATTTATTTTAACTTTATCTTAATTCGCAAATGTTAATATTATTTGTAGCGTAGGGAGAGTTGTATATGATTTGTTTACAATAAAGTATACAAATATTTTATTAATCATTTTCACTTCACTATCAAAAACCCGGAGCCCCTTATTAAACGCTGCCACTGGCACGGACGCTGCCACTGGCACGGACGCCGCCACTGCCTAAACAAAAAATCAACAAGTAGTGTTTTTGTCACTTTGATGTCTCATTTTGTTCCTCATCTCACTCCACGATTAAATAAAGTAAGAACAAGATTTTATTGGAAAAAGTATATTGATACTTGTATATTACAAAAATAACATCACAATAAATTTTCAAAAATCACAGTTTAAAATCATCATTTTGAACTTCCGCCATCTCGTCGTGGTCTCGAAGTCCAGTGGTTCGAGCTTGAACACCTCAACAATCTCTTGCATCCATAAGAAGATATTATCACAGATTATCCTTAGGATTCTGTGCTTCCAGCTGCTGTTGTGCTGAGTTCTTACTTTTCATTTTTTTTTTGTTTTCGCCTGAAGCACACGTTCGCCTTTCGCCCACTGGGCGAAAAATGAAGCCCCGCTTCAGACGAAAAAAACAACTTACCCCACTGATCTCCACCTATCCCTCAATCGAGCAGGCTTTCATCAAGGAAAACATAGAACTCAATACATCCAAACCCTACGTTGACGAAGATCCCTGACCCCCGGAGCCCGCCCAAAACGAAAAGCTTTCAAAAAAGCAACCTAGCACATAGCCCGACAGACGCTTGCGTGGGTGAACATCAGCACAACAGCACTGGATGCCGACGTTGTCATCCCAGACTCCCGTCGGTGGAGTGGCTCCTCGATTTCGTCTCGTTGCGTTTCCTGCAAGTTAATAGAAAACATATAGCGATCTTGTGTATTAAACTCACCGTTTTCGTGCTTCTCGTCCTCGCCTCGCGCTCTGTGGCTTCAAGTTCGACCGCGACGTCAGCATTGGCATCCAGGCTGTTGTGCTGATGTGCATCAAGGCAGGGCTCTGACGTGCGATGTGTTTGGAAGCTTTCTTGAAAACCTTGCGTTTTTGACGGACTTCAGGGAGTCAGGGTTCTTCTTCCGCGAAGGGTTTGGGGTGTTTGGGTTCGATGTTTTCCTTGTTGGAAGTCCGCTCGATTGAGGCAAGGGTGCTGATCAGTGGGGTTGGTCAGTGATTCTTCAACTGGTGTGGTTGGAGATGTTCTGGTAACATAATTAAAAATGAAATGACGTCATCAAGTTGTTGGAGCGGATAAACGAAAAATAAAAAGATGTTTGAAATGTATTTACCTGTAAGGTGTCCACACGACGGTTTAATTCTTTGTCTAATTGCTTATCTTCCGACTGTAAAAAAAAAAAAAGTAAAAATTATCAGTCATTATCAGTCAACCATAGTTTTTCTGTATACATTTGTAACTAAAATCATGCTTAACAGAATTTTCCCAATACGGGCGATATTAACTATAAAGAGACTTCTTACCAATTCGTTCTTTATTTTTTCTGCCTGCGTTTTTTTCTTTTTCGGAAATTTCTTCTTTATTAGTGTCTCTCTCTCATTTTCTAGATCACAGGTATACGCAAAATTTTGTGGCAGGTGGAACACGAATGGAGAATACGTATGACACATTTTAAAACAAACTTTTATGTAAAAAAAATACATTTAACACAACTGTCACTTCAAATATTTCTCGGTACAAAAATGGTATAAAATCGGGCTACTATATATTATCGATTACACTTTTGCTACGTTGCCGGTTGCTCAAATGGAATTTCCGTGGATTAACTCGTCACTTTTCGGTATATGTCGTAAAAATTCGGTAGACTTAATTTTGATTTGAATAAACTTCAAAGATCTTTGTTTTCGTTTATAAATTTAAATAAATAAAATACACAATCAAAATAATAACATTTCAAGGCACTAAACTAACAAAAATATAAATCATACATTAAATACAAGAATTGAATAAACTTAAAAAACAAATAAAAGCAAAAATAAATTTGTTGTCATAACAATTGTTGTTTTCAATATCTTTTTGCGTGTAACAATCCAAAAGTAGTAAGTTCAATACTTTATTGTTGTTTTGTTTTGATTTTTTTTAACTTCTTAAAATAATATAATGTCTTCTGAAACTAAATGAAGTTCTTTATATTTCTTAATAAAGGCTAGTCGTTATCTAGCTGTTGCAAACTATCTTGAATTACTGAAGTGGAAGTAAAATTGCTACAATAGAAACTGATCAATTGGTTCCAGGTTTGGATCTGTAAAATTTTTGGAGAGAATCTTTTTTACGGGAGATCGCTGGACTATTTGAGAACAACGTAAAAGTCCAAACTTTCCAACCTAAAAAAATATGTAAACTGTGATGCTTGGGTACGACACAATTAACAATTTATTTTTGGAAATTGTTAGTACTACATATCTACTAAAATAAATATCTTCGTTTGGCAAATAGTTTCTTGGTTTTTTATAACATACATTTTCCATCCAAATAACTTCAGTGTACAAAACAATCAAAATTGTTCTTAAAATTTAAAGTATTTTACTATTTTTATTTTTTACACTTTTGACAATTCTGCTTGTATTTTTTTATTATTATTTAAATTAAACATTTTAAATATACAAAATAAACCCACTATTCACAACTTTTCGGTGGATTTTTAATTTAAATTGGTGGATCAATAAATGTCTCCCAAAACTATCGAAAAGTGGGTAGATCTGTCAACTCGGCACTTTTGCTACAAATCGTCGAAAGAGGACTTTGATGTCGCTCCGATCACCAACTTCACGGAATTAAAGATTCCCAACTTTAACTTTTATTACTCATTATTTAATATTTTCAGTATTGATTTAATGCAGCAACGGTTGTTTAACAATAAGATTCATAACTAAGAAAAATTTCTTCGATAACTCTAACCGTTTTTCCAAAATCGCCCATTGAAATATCGTAATTTTTAAAAATTAAAAAAAAATTCGAATTTCACACCGAATGTTTCGAAAATAGTGCTCCGTGACCCTAAACACACTATATTTTTAGACGACTTTTCAAAAACGAAATTTTCCCTTATGCAAATTTCGACGATTTTCGAAATTTAACTAAATACAAATTCTTGTAGATTTCGAGCCGTAGATTACTCCAACTGTTTTTCTAAAATCTCTCGCCGAAATATTTTAAAACTTGGTCGAAAGTTATTTCGAGAGGACTTCCCTCTCCCCCGAAATGCAGTGCCACAAATCCCGCTTCTTTGAAAAATTAAAAAATTCGATTTAGCGAATTTGTATTAAATAAAACAAATACAAGAGTATGCTATTTTATAAAATTTTTTATAAATATTTTTGAGATGTCATGACATTGATAGGGAGATTGGGCAAATTTTGGTAAGCGTTTTACCATTTACACGATATTCTTAACATACATATAAAATACAATCGGTCGGGTAGTTTTGGAGATTATCAAAAATTTACCATGCTTATTATAACTTTAAAACATCTCCAAAATTTCAAAGCATTTGGTTTTGTAGTTCTTCATTAAATCAATAAAGTAAATTCACGTATTCATTAATGTTTTTGAGCCACGCTGTATATGCAAATCCAAAAAATATGAATGGAGTGATAAATCCCAAGTACAGACTCATCATATTTTGTACATTTTAGAGACGATTTATTCGGCAAACTTTTGAGCTGACGTCATCGATTTTTTGGAGGGGATAAGTAAATATATTTTGATTAAAAATTTATCATGCTTATCATAAGCATAAACCGTCTGCAAGATTCCAAAGTATTCGGTTTTGCAGATTACAAGTTAAATTGCAAAATGTTGTTTCATAATTTCGATTTTTTTTCCAAAATGTGGACGTTTCGGCTAAAAACTCAATTGGGAGTCATAAACTACATGTGTAGGACTATGTTATTTTATACAATTTAAAACCCAGTTACTATGTACAATTTTGAAGTGACGTTATCACACAAATTTTGGTTAGCGTTTTACCATTTACATGATATTCTTAATATAAATACAAAATTTGACAACAATCGGCCAGTATCTGTCTAATAAAAATCCGGGACGACAGACAGACGGACAGACGGACAGACAGATGGAAACGGGAACCTATTTCTTCGTCCTCTAGGGGTCGAGAAAATGTAAAAGTAGAGAGTCGGCGGACGGACTCGATTACAATACTTCCTTTGCTTACCCTCGGGAAGTAAAAATTTAAAAAAATTCGAATTTCAGTCCGAATTTTTCCAAAACATTGCTCTGTGACCATAAGTAGGCTATATTTTTGGAATCACCACGTCAAAAAAATGTTGCCGTGACGATTTTGTAAATTTAACTAAATATGTACATTTTCTTGTAGATTTCGGGCCCCAGAAGTCACTACCAGCCTCATTTATTAGATAACTCCACCCTTTTTGCAAGAATCGTCAATTGAAATATCGTAATTTTTAACAATTTCAAAAAAATTCGAATTTCACTCCGAATATTTCGAAAATATTGTTCCGTGATTCTAAACACGCTATATTTTTGGAATTAGCACGTCAAGATCTTTAACTCTGAATTTTTTGAGGAATTTTAGACGATTTTTTCAAAAATCAAATTTTCCATTGCAAATTTCGACCCATTTTTGATGATTTTCGAAATTTAACTACTTTCGGTCTCATTTTATCGATAATTCCAACCGTTTTTCCAGAATCACCCATTGAAATGTTGAAATATTTAACAATTTCAAAAAATCCGAATTTCACACCGAATTTTCCGAAAATACTGCCCTAAACACAATATATTTTTGGAATCAGCACGTCGGGATCTATAAACCTGAATTTTTTGAGAATTTTTAAACGACTTTTTCAAAAATGAAAGGTTCCACCATGTATTTATGCAAATTTGGACCCATTTTGGACGATTTTCGAAATTTAACTAAATACAATTTCTTGTAGATTTCCAGCCGCAGACGTCACTTCTGGACTCATTTCTTCAATAACTCCAACCGTTTTTCCAGGATCGTTCCATTTAATTTTTATGTGTCAATTTTTTTAAATTTCAAAAAATTCGAATTTCACGTCCAAGAATTAGACGTTCAGGATAAAAATAAAAGGGAATGAATAAATTACAAATTCAGAAGCATAGTATTTTATAATTTTGTGAATATTTCCTAAAAAAATTATGACGCCAACTTTGTAGCGGCTGGTGACCTTTTGAAATGGGGGGACACAATTTGATTGATGAGTTAAATATGAAAATATACAACAGGCTGTTATTACCAATTAATAGACGAAATTGTGTGACGGAAATAAATACAAAAATACAAAAATCAAAAACTAGAGTTGTATAGTTTTTTTTAAATCACATAGGTACATTAAATTTGTTTGACTAGCAGTAATAAATTACCTATATTATAATACAAGTCGAAATGATCTACATATGCAACCAATATTATACAGTGAGCTACTAGTTCTGCGGGCAGATGCCTAATACGACGGTCGATCAATAACAACTCGAGATTTTGAATTCAAGTTTAGTGGCAGCTGGAATTTGGTTATGTTGGTTGTGGTACTTTTTTTTAATGTGCAACCTTAATTTCTTTGCTTATCCAAGTTATATTTTAGAATCCGTATGTAACTATTAGTTATCTTTTATTATCATAATATTATTATCTCATATTAACACATTATGCTCTACTTTGATAATTTTAACATTTCTTCTGTGCACTGATTGAACTCAATTACAATACAACTCACTAAAATGTATGTAACAAATCAGTTCGTTATTATATTGTACATTCCTTACAAAAATTCGAAAATTAGTGACAGCTGAAAAAAAAAACTTTTCGTGTGCTGACGCTGACGTCAAGACATACAATTTTCGGAAAGCTGACTCAGTTGACCATATGGTTAACAATTTTTATAAAGCATTATTTAATTTGTTTGATAAATTTGTTCCAATTTTTCGCTCCAGAAAGAAATGTTATCCTGCTTGGTTTGACGCTGAGATTGTAAGTCTTATTAAGAAAAAACATCGTCATCTAAAAAAGTACAAAAGCTCCGGTTTATCCACTGAACTAGCTAAATTTAAAGAAGCGAGAGCATCTATTAAAAAATTAACTTGGGTCGCCTATAACTCGTACCTAAAAAGAATTCTAGCGTTTCATCAGCGCAAAGAAAGGTGGTACTAGAATTCCCGGAAAGATGTCCTTTGAGAATAATACTTTTGAAACTCCCACCGATATCGTTAATGCTTTTGCTGAATTTTTTAAGTCAACTTTTGCTTTATCGGATCCTACGGATTGTGATGCTTTAACTGAAATGGTTGTTTCGGAAGTTCCACTGTAAATATACCTAATGTAAACTAATGTTACACAAGATGATATTATTAAGGCCATTCGACGTTTAAAGTTCGGAATGACATCTGGGCCGGATAAGATACCAAGTTTTTTCATAAAGGACTGCAAGTTTTAGTTGGTTGAACCGCTATTGCTGATTTTTAATAAATCCTTGGAAACAGGAGTTTTTCCTACAAAATGGAAAATCTCCAAGGTTTGTCCGATCCTGAAATCAGGTGATTTACTTGAGATCAAAAATTATAGATCCATTTCTCTGTTGTGCAATTTTGCCAAAATTTTTTAGTCAGTTATACATTCCTATATATACCCTGCAGTCAGGAGTCTTATCTCAACAAACCAACATGGTTTTTTGGATCATAGGTCTACTACA